GTTGTTTTTGTATTATGGATTCTAGTTTTAAGGGTCTTTGGATCGGGAATTTTGATCTAAGAGATTTATGAAGGAGTTGAGCTCTAATCCTCACTTAAAATTTATATGATTTGGATAAGGAATTTGGGCAAAATACCACATTTGTGGCTTTGGCTCAGGCTTTTGGTGGATAAAATGAAAATATTAGTTTGCCCCCTTCTTATTTCTTAAATCGTCTTCTTCCCTCTTGCTTCTTGCTCTATAAAATGGTTCTTCTTCACTTATCTTCATCTAGTTGAAGCAAGCAATGATGGTGTCTAGTTCAATACTTCCATTCCTACACTAAATTTGTTCATCGATGGTAAGTGGATGCATTACCTCATCACTGAGCTCGAGTGGATCCTCGAACTGACTATCGACTCCTCTTTCTGTGTTCCTTCACCTTCTCTTCCTTACATCATCCAATTTGGATTCAAACTCTTTTAGGCTCATAACTCTGGTGTTATTCCCTCTTCTCTGTGTATCTTTTACCCGTTCTAATAGAGGCGCAAAAGTCCCCAAATCGCGTTGCTCGTCCCTCTGTCCTTCTCATCATCCTCCAATCGCACCTCTTTCTTGTCGTGTTGTCGCCAATCTTGCAAAACCCAAAATAGATTCCTTGACGATGAAAGCTAGAGACCCATAGACAATCCCATTATGTACTTCTCCATCCAGAAACCCATATTTGATTCCTAGATTGATTCAACGGAGCAAGTGGTTGCATCATCACTTACTTGTATCGTCGATGGTCAAAGCCCTTGTCACCACCGCCCTTTTCATGTCATCGTCGAATTCCTTTCTTCTTCTTCGCATCGTTGCCTTCCCCGCATCAAATTCCGCCTACTTTCGATTCACTACTTCATTCTCTTTCATCTATAAATCTCTCCTACCCACCGGCTTTAACAAAGGTGAGAGGCGATGGAGGATGGGAGCTGAGAGGAAAGCTAGGAGGGGCAGGGTTGGATTGTGCCAGAACTATTTCATCAACTACCCCGTGTGTTCCTTTATGTCGCGAAGGATGAGTCGTCGGAGCGAGAATGACTAAAAAATGTTGGAGGGTCGATAGGTCAGAGTGGGTGGAGAAGATGGAAGAAGAAAGAACTGAAGAATCTTCCTACACAAAGAGAATTCAAGAGTGCCCTAAGTGCCATAACGTATATGTTACTTGAATTTTTTGTATTAAATCTAAATCCTCCCTATTAGAAAGGAACTCAGTGTTTTGTCTCCCTCCCTTTCAATGTTCATGCGCTCTTATAATTCGAGAAAGGGTAGATTTTGTCTTTGAGTATTCATTAAATTCATATGTGCATGGCATTCTTTAATCATTCGTTAGGTCTTTGTCTTGGGCTTTTAATTGGATTTTGGTCTGATAATTAATTTATGGTATCATTTTTTAATTTGGAGTTTTGAAATTGGAAGTCTTGTTTTTTTTTCTCTCTCTAGCACTTTCTGCATACTTTCTGTTGATCGATCACGGTAGTCACAATCAGGGCCTCGTCGGCCACCATCGATGACAGTCGATCCTTCGAATCTTTGTTCGGAGTATCTTCTGATAGCTACCTCGATTACTATACATTAGAGGTCCTTAATAGTTTGTTGTGTATCCCGCGTTGAATGCACTAGATACTACCTTGCCCATGATTTTATTGATTGCTAACGTACTTGACATCTTTCAAATGGACAACCCTAGTGGGCACAAATCTCGATGGTGAGCACCTTTGAACATATCGCGCAATGCTAACTCATCCTTTCGACCAAGAGACATAATGGCTACTCGTTGTTCGAGTGCGTCAAACTTGGTATCCAACTTAGCTTCTAGACTATTGGGTCCAGTAACCTCGTGTACTCCCCCTCTTCTTTGGGTACTCTTCTCATTGTCCTATTCATTTTCGTTCGAGCATATCCTCTTCACCAAATCATAGGCTTTTGTAGGTTCCATGCTCATAAAAACTCTCTTAGAAGCATTCTTAAGGGCTTCCCTAAATTCTCGTATGATCCCATCAAAGAAGATAGTTATCATATTCCATTCTTCTTAACCATGGTTGGGAATTTTCATAAGATCCCCTCGTAGGGTTGACATGTCTTGCTCAAGCTCTCAGTGTCTACATGCATGAAATCCATTATCTTGTTTTGAAGTTTCATTGCCTTTGCAAGAGAAAATCCTTGTCGAGAAAAGGTTTCTCGAGTTGAGCCCATTTGTTGATTAAACGAGGTGTCAGGTTTTGGAACTAGTATGTTGCATTCCCCAACAAATAGAATGAGAACGTGTGGAGGCGGATTGCATCATTGGATACGTCGGGGGTTCTTCATCGTTTCAAATATGCTAAAAAATAGTCTAAGATGGTCGTGTGGGTCTATTGAGTTGGCTTCGAGAATGTGTTCTCATTAGTGATCATATTGACGACAAGGAAGTGAATCAAGTGATATCAAGGTTGGTATTCTCAATAGTAATGACAACCCTAGAAGCTCGAGGTTTTCATCACGAGCTGATCTCATTTTTATATACTCTGTTGGTATCATATTATTTAGTTAATGCTTAATATCATGGTATTTTATATTTCATAGTAATTCATATTTAAACAATATATGATACACATAATCTATCTGTTATATTATAAATGAGACATATTAGCTCACATATTCAAAGTATTAAGCATCATATTCGGTGAGATACATAATTTAACAAACCTACGAATTATCAACAAACCAACTCATCAGAGATAGCATCGATTCGCTCATAAGCCGGTAGTCGAGTTGTCCCATTAGCCACATTGTTGAGACACCTCATGAGCTCAAAATGAGCCAACTCACGATTTGAACTTAGCAAACCACTGAGTCGAGCTGGTTCACAAGCCTCGTGGCTGAACATGACTTTACTTAGGTCGACTCGTTAGTAAACAAATCAAACTCCGAACGGGATTTTTCGAAATCACACATGAACAACTCATATCGTGCTAATTATCATTCAAACATCATCTAAGCCGGGTCAGTCTATATCTTTATTAATTAAGATCTACATGTCAGGTTTTGTTAAGAGTTAAGACGCAAGAAAAGAATCTCAGTTGTTGCCAGCTCTAATATGTATTATTGAAACAAATTTTATTTCGGCTGTCACGTTCGCAGAAAACCCCTATAGAGCTAGTCAAATAATTGAGCAAATTTCCTACTAATTGAAGATGGCCAGCTAATACACAGCACAACTGCAGTCCTCCTGCATTTTCTTTCCCACTTCGTGGTCCACCACCATCTATCTAAGGAACAAATCAAATAACGTGGAAATTGTTCACATACAAATACAATTCCGCCGTAGCCGATAGTTGGATTTATAATTCGGTGATACTTTGTAAATTGTGAGATTTGAAAACAGATAAAATTTAAGGATTGTAGATATTTGAATTAATATTGTTTTGTGGCAAAATTTAAAGTAAATTGATGTGCGTAAGAGAATTTATTTGATGGTGAAAGAAAGAATACGGATATAATTAGGGATGGCAATGGGGCGGGTTTGGGGCGGGTTTGCCTAAACCATCCCCATGCCCATCTTCAAATACCCAAACCCATACCCGCCCCATACCCATGCGGGGGAATGTTTTGCAAACCCATCCCCATACCCGTGGGTTTCGGGTACCCATGGGTAATACCCATCCGCGTACTTCCAACATTATTATACCTAAAACTTACAAGAAAAGTTTTAATTATAACCATAAACAAACCTATTATATCACGAAGTCAACAAAACACGGTCATTTTCTAAATACGATTCAAAGAATATGATCCTAAAACATCCATTAATACATAATAAAGACTGTAATATTTTTTAAATTATTATGCTCTAACTCTTGATACATTTACTAAGTAATAATTAACTAACATAATTTTGTTGACAAGGGGGAAAGTGAAAGAGTGGAAGGAGAATTGAGGGAAATGAATTAGGTTTTGATTAAGGTGGTTACTCAATTGTATTTCTACTATTTATTTTCTCGAGTTATCATCATCATCATTGATAGATTACAATTTAATCCACGTATTTTTTGATATGTGAAGAAATTCTCTTGGTGGGGCGGGTATGGGTATGGGTATGGGGCGGGGGAGGCTAAAACCATACCCGCCCCATACCCATCAAACCTTTTGCGGGTTTTACCCATACCCGCCCCATACCCGGTCAAAGCGGGGATTCCCCGCGTTGACTGGGTATGGGGCGATCGGGTACCCGCGACCATGGGTTTGATTGCCATCCCTAGATATAATGGTTAATTATCTCGCAACAAGCTAAAAATTTGCCAAATCAACAAATGTCAAATTGGAATGGCAAGTTCTCCAACAAAAGAGTTGTACAATTCTCTAGATGAAACAGATCAGAGATTTTAAAAAAATAATGTCTTCAAATGACCCCCATTTTCTCTTACGTAAAATGGTAATGTTCTCTGGCTACAATAAATGAATCGTGCAAATGTGACTAATAGAATTCCGTATATGTAAGTTGTAGTTTATGATCTATTATAATAGAAGAAATCCGATAAAATTCGAACATCTCCGATAATTATATGTGTGACACCAAAGTCTAGATGATTAGTTGGTCGCACATGTCCCATGCCTTGATCAACACAAGTTACACAACCCAAGCCTAATTGTTCCTCTACCGTCTACACATTCATTTGACTTTTTTTTTTTTCATCACTAAGATAAGCTGTAAAAATTAGTTACACTAACTAATAATTCAATAATAATTTAGCAGCTTGCTTTGTCAATTTGCACGTCTGAACAACTAAATCACGACAAATCCCCAGCCAAATCAAGTCACCAAATTATCCTCCATTTACAAATAACACCCACAATATAAAAATTATAAAACGTATATATCTGATGCAAAACAAAACAAAAAACAAACTCCAAAACAAAAACAAAATATCAGATGAAAACAGTTAAAAAAAAAGAAGGAAAACAATTAAGCATTTTGTTTATTTTCTCCACCGCTACCTTCTTCAGAAAGTCCACTTCCAGATCTTCACCCTCAAATCCACCTTACAATCGGCGCCGGCCACCGAGCCGGTCGTCGGCGACTTCCCAGTCGGCGCCGTAGCCTTAATCCCGGAGCAGACGACTCGAATCGCAACTTTCGGAGTCTTCAAACCTCCCATCTTCACCTTCACTTTGGTATCCGCGCGGATCCTCAAAGCGACGCCGTTCTTCCCCTTCAGCTCGCCCCTCAGCTTCTTCGCCGCCGCGTCGTCCAGCTGCTGGCCACCGCTAATCGCCGCCTTCAGCACGGTCGTGTTCTTCGCCCCGTGGACGAACGCTGGCACCTTCGCCGTCCCCAGGCTGACGCCGCCATCGGCGGCCGAGAACACCGAAATGTCGATCGGATTGTAGGTGAAGACGATCTTCTTGTTGGGGTTTCTGGCGGTGATGTTGACGGCGATGTTGGAAGCGAGCTGGGAGCTGGAGGTGACGTTGAGGGTCGAGATCTTGATTCCGGAGACGGTGAAGTCGGGGCGGTGGGGGCGGTAGATGACGTAGACGGCCGCGCCGGCGATGGCGGCGAGTAAGAGGAGGGAGAGGATGATTAGGGTTATCCAGAAGCAGAGGCAGCAGCAGCAGCTGCGGCGGCTTCGGCGGAACTTGCGCTGGGGTTGGGGACGGTAGGCGGGGCGGTTGGCGCCGTAGAGCTGGGCTTTCGTTGCGGGGAAGGCGGGAGCCGCGCCGGGCGCTGCGGTGGTGGTTGGAGGAGCCGCCGCCGCTGCGGCGGGAGGTTTGGCTGGATAGACTCTGTCGGCCATGGGGATTTAGATTGGGGGTGAGGGATTTGATTTGTCTGGGGAAGTGTTTGGGCTCTAAGAAAAGGGAAAGAAAAGTGAAGGGAAATTTTTTTTTGGAGTGTGGTGGTTTTGCTTAGGTCCAAAGGGAAGAGATTAAAAAGTGGAGCGGAAAATTTATTAAAGCGAGGGATGCTGGCTGTGGAAGGTGGGGACTGGGACAGCAATATTTTTTTATTGGGTTAATTGCATGGTTGGTCACTGAGATTACAAAAAATGTTCATGTTTGGTCACTGAAAATATTTAAATTCAATCTTGGTCACTCAAATTAGTTAAATGGTTCAAGTTTGATCACTCTCCGTCCAACTCCGTTAAATATGTCTGATGTGGCAGTCAACCCTCAAAGTTGACCGTTAATTCGGTGACGTGACAATTAAAAAATAATAAATAAAATAAATTTTAATTTTCTACCATTTCCAACTCATTTTCACAATAAAATAAAATAAATAAAATAAAATAATAATTTTGGAGGAGACGCAAGAATTGTGATTATAGAAGAGAGAAGGAATTGGGTGAACTGCCTGACCTGTGCCTGGCCTCTATAAATACAACAAATTAAATACCGCAAATATCGATCAGCGACTATATTCCACTGCTGCAGCATCCATTCCAGAGTAACGCCGGAACCTAGCAAGCTATGTCGTCTGTGCCACAGTTGATCGCCTCTGCGGGAGCTCCCAAGAGAGCTAAACAAGGAACAGCACCGCCGGCGTTTGGGCCTGCGGCTGCGGCTGCGGCTGCTACTTATCTTCCCACTTTGTGGGTTGATCATGATTTCCTCACCCTCAAGCTTCAGGGAATTCAATCAGTCGCCCATTCCATCTGAATTGAAACCTCAAAACCACGTAACAGAGCTCAAAACTAAGCCATAAGCTACATTTACCTCCATCCCCAAATCACAAAGAACTGCGGCAGCAAACAAATTAAAGAGGACCAATCTCAACTACAAACGATGGAAATTCAATTGCAAACAACTAAATATAGCGAGCGATAAATAGATAGTAGCGTTTGGGGGAGGGGAAAAAGAAGAGGGAAACAAAGGGAATTGAGAAGCGAGGCGAACCTGCGGAGCCAATTGAGCAAAGCTTCCCAAATACCCATCGCCGACGACGAGGAGGATGAGAGATAGGGAAGAGAAAGAGAGGGAAGATCTGCGGTGGAAACTCGGGGAAGCTGGAATTGAAATTTGCAGGGAGCCGCGGAAAGACAAAAAAAAAAAAAAGAGGAACGAGACAGATAGGCAGGGAAGGAGGGAGACGGAAAGAGAGAGACAACACAGAACACAACGCAAGACACCCAAGCCGCTCGCCCAGTCACCAGGAGCTTCCGCGCTCAACTTCTGACCAACGCCCAAGCCGCCGCCGCAGCGGATAACAACAAGGTACCGATCTTTCTCATCTCCAAATTCATCCAACGATTTCTTTGGTTTCTGGTTTTCGATTTCTAGTTTTGAATCGCACTCAATCTGAATCTTGGGTGCTGCTTCGATTTTGGAGGAGACGCAAGAATTGTGATTATAATAATTTATTTTATTTTTTTAATTTTACTTTATTGTAAAAATGAGTTGGAAATGGTAGAAAATTAATTTTTTTTTTTAATTGCCACGTCACCGAGTTAACGGTCAACTTTGAGGGTTGACTGCCACATTAGACATATTTAACGGAGTTGGACGGAGAGTGACCAAACTTGAACTATTTAACTAATTTGAGTGACCAAGATTGGATTTAAATATTTTCAGTGACCAAACATGAACGTTTTTTGTAATCTCAGTGACCAACCATGCAATTAACCCTTTTTTTATTTATTAATTTTTGACGGATAAAAAATAATAATATCATAATTCGTGAATGACACTCATTAATGATGATTACTTGGTTGTTTGATCATCTTAATTAATCATTTATTAGTTGATAAATCCGAGTAAAAAGAAAGTGATTCCCTTGGTAATCTCAATTCACCGCACCAGCTTTTATTATTTGTTTGATTAATTGTTTTTTCGTTTTCGCTTCGCCACCGACACGTTGTGTCACTTGCGGGGCTAAGTCCGTAAAAAGAGAAAATAACGCGTCAAAGGGGATGTTTTGGGAACGTACTTGAGCGTCGTCTTCTTCTCTGGCACATTCCCAATAGAAAACAGATGGAAGGAAAACGCGGGGATGGAAATGGATCAGATTTCATTCGCAATCTCCATCTGGCGCAAATGAGAAAGACGAGGAAGATGTATAGAGGTAGGTGTTTTATCGTAGCGTACTTGACAGTTGAACTTAGGGTTAATACCTTATTTTGGCCCGAACTATGACCATATAATCAACTTTGGCCCGTGGTTTCAGAAATTAATATCCTGGCCTCAACTATGCAGCATATAGACTCAATTAGCCCGACAAATAGTTTGACCGTCAATTTGGACGGTCAACTCCGTTGACCGTTAGTCAACACGCCATGTCATTGCCTAGTCAGGCTAAAAATCATTAAAAAAATGCAAATTTCAAATTATTTTTCTAATTTTCCTTATTTATTATCAAATTAACCAAAAATAAATTATAAAAAACATAAAAATAAATTTGATTTTTATTTTTTGGATAATTTGAAAATTGATAAATTTTATAAATTAAATAAAAATTATCAAATTATTTTATATTTTTAAAATTTCCCACAAAAATATAATTTATATCATAATTTATAAATTTATAAAATTTATATTCATAATTTTTGGGTAATTTATAAAATTTATCATTTTCAAATAAAAAAAAATTATTTTATATTTTTAGAATTTTATTTTTTGGTTAATTGGAAAATGATAAATAATAGAAATTAGGAAAATAATTTGAATTTAAATTTTTTTAATCATTTTTAGGCTGACTAGGCAATGACATGGCATGTTGACTAACGGTCAACTGAGTTGACCGTCCAAATTGACGGTCAAACTATGTGTCAGGCCAATTGAGTTTATATGCTGCATAGTTGAGGCCAGGATGTTAATTTCTGAAACCACGGGCCAAAGTTGATTATATGGTCATAGTTCGGGCCAAAATAAGGTATTAACCCTTGAACTTATGTATCGTGATATTTTAGTCTGATTTTCTAACGTCAAAATAATGTTGTTTTGAGTAAAAGTAAGCGGGAAAATGTAAATTGTGTTGAGCCCTCCTCTTCAACACAACTCTAGTTGATGCTTGCTCAATTCCTTTCTCTCTTCCTCTAAAGTGGAACTCCTCTTTCCGACAAATAGAGACCGAGTCCTCTCTCTGACAATTGTGACAAAAGGTAATGTATGCACTTTGTAATTGGGTTTAGTTAGACTTAATTTTAAAATTAATTAGTGAGGTTGTGAATTTTACTCTATGTGCCTTTTTGTGTCTTGGTTTCTCATGTTCATTTAGTTAGTATTTACCTCAAATATCCTGTATAATTTCGATATTTTTCGAATATGATAGTATATTTTGTCGATATAATATTTTACCAGAATGAAATAATTAAACCACAATCATACCACAGTATCCTACCATAGACTAATTTGATATTCACCTCCATGGTTGTCACGCCGGCCGGAGTGCCACCGGTTGAACCTGGTTCAACCAATACCGTTCATAAAACCGGCGTGACACCACTGGCACGATCGGCATGATCGATATACGAATCTCTAAGCAAAATGGCCTTATTTTAGTGAGTTTAATTGATAAAAATAATTTTATTATTTATTTTATGAGTATAAAAGGTAAATATTGATGTTATTTATTGGATCCAAGTATAAATGTTTAAATATTGACGTTAAATGTCATGTTTAAATATGAGTATTTATAATTTTATTTGTAATATTGACCGGCATGAACCGGCACAAACATGTATGTGCCACCGATCGACACATTTCACTTGCTAAACCGACACACTGGCATAAACCGGTTTGACAACCTTGTTCACCTCCCATACAATTTTTCAATTCTTCCTTCTATCATATAAGCATTTGTTATCTTATGCTGAACATGTGTGCCCTAATTACACCACTTTTATTTACTCTCAAATCATGTGTGTTTCAACACGTGTGCCATATTGCTGTTATCCTTCCTACCATGTGGTCCATGCGGCAATGTATATGATTCCTTCCCCTCACTTCCTCCAAAGTAAACTCATCAATTGTCAATGATTAAAGGGACTTCTGTTGCGTGGTTTGATGTTTGTTTTGATCGTAGTAGTCGTAATAAGATAGTTAATATAGTGGTAGGAAAATTTCTTTTCTTCTACCCTTCTTTCGTATGGTTTAATTTTCTTTTCATCTTTTCTGATTGTTTTCGGTCAAGTAAGACTCTTGTATCTGATTATTTTTCGATAAAGCAACTAATTTTTTGGGGAATAGGGTGACTTTTGTGAGTCGCATCGCTAATAATTATGATTTGGGTGACTATGTATGGTGTCAGATTCAATTGATTTTCTTTTAAAAATGATCGAGAGTGAAAAAGTATTGTACGAACCTTCATCTATCTATGACTATTGACTACACATACTATGAGAGCTAAAAATGTGAAAACTATTGCTCTATGGTTAGGAGTGTGCAACTGGTTGGTCCGTACCAAAATGTACTGGACCCAATTGATGCTCGGACCGGACCACATCGAACCGAACATAATATGGTATGGTCCTCTTGGTCTCATGGATTTTATAAACAATGAAGAAAAAAGTACCTAATTGACATTTGGACCGGACCAAAACAAACTGAATGCACTATTGATTTGGTCTTTAGTACTAAGAAGTTTATCACTATTAGACCACGGTTTTCCAGAGTTTGATCATACTGACTGGTTGGATGAAAATGCTTCATCATCCTTGCTCTTCACTGTGGGCGTGGCCATCATTATACGTGGTGTCCTTCTAATTCCTGCATTCATAGAAGGTAAGCCAAATGAATATAAAGGGAATCTTTCACCTCATACTTTAAATTGTGGCTTATTCTATAAGCTAATTACGTGAAACTCATAAGATACACAACCATAGAGTATGATGATCTATGGTAGAACCATGTATCGTATTAAAACATTTAAGCACATAATCAAAAGGTGATGGATAGTACCACCATCTATCATAATCATGCAAGCATTAGTCAACGTAATTCACATAATCCATCCAGAGCACTTCTACTATGCTATATAGTATTGGTACTTTAATGTACAACTTAAAGTTGTACCATAACATTAAATGTATAAGTTTAGGTTGTACCATAAATCAATTTGTACCATTATGTTATGGTACAACTTTACAACTTGAAGTTGTACCATCACATAAATGTACAAGTTCAAGTTGTACCATAAAAGAATTTGTATAAAAAGTATAGGTACAATCTGAAGTTGTACCATAACATAAATGCACAATTTTAAGTTGTACCATAAAGGCAAAACCCTATAGCACCAATGCTATATAGCATTGTAAAATTTCTCTTCATGCATTCAACAATTGAAACATTTGGCAAAAGTACAATAGCATCCAATCCAGTTAATCAATCAATGGTAATTTCAACAAAATCATGCTTTGAAACTCTTAAATAGTAAGATGCTCATCCTTTGCTAAATTCATTAATCCATAAAAAACACAAGACATTAATATTGCACTACGTATTCATAAAATCACATTCTAAAAATACTAGTTATCATCAATGATTCATAAACCATCCAACTGTGCTCAATGGAGCTCAAAATTGCAAGTGACCCTAACTTTCCATCTTTAACATGAAATTCTAAATTGAAGCTCAATAACCATGGTTCTAAATCCTTTATTCGTTCGATCCATCATTGGGAGTATTATGTGACTCGCTCTAACTATCACTCTAGAAAATGGCCAAGTGTAACCACTTCCTAAAGCGTAGTATAGCGGGTTTGGGTTTTATTGTCAACCAGGATCCTAGATGTGATGACTACTCAGTGAATTCTTATTATCTAGCGGTGAAACTTTAGTGCAATTCCAAATTAACAAACAAACAAAGCAAGTTAAAAGGTTGTTTTCAAGTCGAGAGAGGTCACCCGGATATGGTTCCCCCTAGACTGCAGTTAAGCCGGATTGCAATTTACCAAGTTCAGTTTCTACGATAGTTATACTGCGGGAGGTTCTTAAACAGTCTGAAGTCTCGACTAAAGGTCTCCAGACCCTCTCAATCTGAGTCTCTAGCGGGCGACTAACCTCCACCGGAGTAAACAGATTGAGGCCCTAATGAACAAAACCTCCACTATCGAA